TGCACCATCAACCACCTGCTTCCGGCACCCTGGAGAACAACACTTATAGTCATTACACCATGGCTTTGGGACTGTTGCTTGGCCTTCTCCCCTACTCTCTCTCATTGGGTGTGAAAGGATTCAAAGTATGTCACCCCAAAATATATCACTCTGGCATAAGGACTACTTTGAGCTAAAGGCAACTGAGAAAAAGTAATCACAGGGTGAGCTTTCTGCCATCCCCCATCTGCCTGAAAGCAGAACATAAGTTGTCCTTATGAAGGGGCCCTTCACCCACTTTCCATACCAGAAAGGAGTTGCAACCTTTCTGGCAATGAGATGGTACCAAGTTATACAAGCAAACTTTGTTAACCAGTTCGTATCACTTATTAGTTTCCCCATGAGTTTGCCTTCTTACTATATCACCCTAGAAGCACACAGTCCTTTTCCTTTGTCTTGTCATTTCTCCACAAAACTATTGTCCTTTGTTAAGATGCTATATAAGCCCCAAGTTCTACCCACCCCTTTGAGTTAGTTATTATTCAGTTTCTCTCATGTGTAGGCAGAATGCTGCATATGTCAATAAGCTTCTGTTTATTTTTGTCCTGTTAACCTGTCTTTTGTCAGGCTTATTTGCAGGACTCCAGGCAGAAGGCCTGGGAATACAGAGGGGGAAAGTTTTGCCTCCACTGTAGGTGATTTATCCAAAAGAAATTTAAGAAACCATGAATCACTAACTATTTAATTCAGAAACATTTCTTTTCTGTTATTCCATTTTTTGGACTGCTTTATAATGCAAACATCTTTTTCTCAAAAGTGTACTATACCCATACACCTGTATCCCTTGGGCCCAGGAGTTCGCAGTTAGCCAGGGCAGTATAGCAAGACTCTGCCTCAAGGAAAAAATGTGTTCCATGACTTATTGCTGAATCCTAACAACAATAAATAAACTATTTGGGATTTAGGAAGGAAGAAGAGAAAAAGCTCGCTGAGCTGACTGATTGTTCTATAACTTCAAAAATCTCCAAAATTTCTTCTTCCATTTCACTAAGTAGTGTTCTAGAAGAATTATTTTACTTGATATTGATCGGTATTCCACTCTGAGAGGTTAATTTGAAAATAGGACCAGAGCAGAAATTATGGAAATTTTGAAAGCAAGGATTTTTGAGGGGAAGGATGATGGGAAGACTAGGGATTCAGAAATGCAGGACCACTTGCTATGCTACCTTTCACACAGCATTTTGGTAAAGGTACTTGGTTTGTTCATTAAGATCTCCTATTATTATTATTATTATTATTATTATATCATTATTATTATTATTTGAGTTGGAGTCTCACTCTGTCGCCCAGACTGGAGTGCAGTGGCATGCTCCCAGCCACCACATCCTCCACCAGCTGGGCTCCAGTGATCCTTCCGCCTCAGCCTTCCAAGTAACCAGAACTACAGGTGTGTGCTACCACACCCGGCTAGTTTTTTGATTTATTGTAGAGACAAGGTCTTGCCAAGTTGCCCGGGTGGGTCTCAAACCCGTGGGCTCAGGCAATCCACTCACCTCGGCCTCCCAAAGTGCTGGGATTACAGGCTGAGCAACCAAGCCCGGCAAGATCTCCTATTTTAATTATTACATTTAATACTTAATACATAAAATGTTAGCTTCTTTTTGTGAACATCAGAGCCAAACCATATAGTTCCGAAATCATTTGATTAATTTTTACTTATTTTTTCCAGAATGCTTTCGGGCAGAAAGTTCTATTTCTGGTTTATATAAGGAGAAAAAATGCTTCTACTAGTGTTTTTTGAGACCAAGTTAGTTGGATGGAAACATCTCTCTGCCCTTTAAAAAGCTGACTAGAAGCCGGGCTCGGTGGCTCAGCCTGTAATCCCGCGCCTTTGGGAGGCTGAGGTGAGTGGATTGCCTGAGCCTGCGGGTTCGAGACCCGCCTGGGCAGCGAGACCTCATCTCTACAATAAATCAAAAAATCAGCCAGGCATGGTAGCGCATGCCTGTAATTCCGGCTACTCAGAAGGCTGAGGAGGAAGGATCACCGGAGCCCAGCAGGTCAAGGCTGCGGTGACTGGAAGCAGCCACTGCACTCCAGTCTGGGCGACAGAGTGAGACTCCAACTCAAAAAAAAAAAGTTGACTAGAAAAAGCCATGCCTGCTTAGGAGTCACTGAATTCTTCCGTCCTTTGCAAGTCAGATTGCTTCCTGGTTCCTAAATGTGACGTATCTATGGCAATACTGTTCACCCCTACAGAGCAGTAGAACAACCTTTCAAAATTTAGTGCAGTGCACCAGTATATAAACAAAGTAACAACAGAGTTGGGGTGTGTGTGTGTGTGTGTGTGTGTGTGTGTGTGTGTGTGTGTCCCAGAACCTCTTCCCTCTTCCCTCTTTCTTGTAGTCTCCCTCTTCCAGCTGGACCCATCCCACCCTAGGCAACACATCGAACACTTTCTCCAAACTTTAGGGACCTGAAACTTATTTTTATTTATTTATTTATATAATTTTCTAATGCTTTTGATCATTTTACATTAAAATCTTTACTTTGCATAGATATGTGAGTTTTTATTTTGTTTTTTATTTTTTGTTTTGTTTAGAGACAAGTCTCACAGAGTTGCCCAGGCTGGAGAACAGTGACTGCTCACAGGTGTGATTGTAGCACAGTGGTCATAGCCCGTAACTCCTGGCCTGAAGTGATCCTACCACCTCAGCCTCCAAATCAGTAGGGCTAGCCGGGCTTGGTGGCTCAGCCTGTAATCCCAGTGCTTTGGGAGGCTGAGGTGAGTGGATTACCTGAGCCTGCAGGTTCGAGAACCACCTGGGCAACTTGGCGAGACCTCATCTCTACAATAAATCAAAAATTAGCCAGGCGTGGTAGCACGCATCTGTAGTTTCAGCTACTTGGAAGGCTGAGTCGGGAGGATCGCCGGAGCCCAGCAGGTCGAGGCTGCAGTGACGGGAGCGGCCATGCACTCCAATCTGGGCAACAGAGTGAGACTACAACTCAAAAAAAACCCAACAAAACAAAACAAAAAAAACCAAATAGCTAGGGCTATATGCCCAGCTCAACTTTGTATAGTTGTTTTAAGAAATCATTTTTGGAATAAATAAAAGGTTTGGCAGCAAAATATAATTATCTCATATAAGGCAACTTGTTAAAAACATTTTTAATGTTTAATTTATTAAAAGTTTTATTTTTCTGAGATTTTAAAAACAAGAAACCAGACAATAGTTTGTTAAGGAAGACAGTAGCTCCCTTCCTATTTTTTTCCCTTTAAGCCCCATTTCATAATTTATTGCTTTAACCAGGACTACAAAGATATGTCAGTAAATATGTTTCTATTTGCTTATTTGCAGATATGTAACTTTTATTTGTCAGAGTAGAAAACTAAGACGCAGAAAAAATTTGCTGTGGCTCTCTGAGCCCTATTTTCCTTTGTACCATGCCACAACTGGTGTAGAGAATCAGGCCTGCTACTTGAGGCCAACTATAGGAGCGCAGAGGCCAGATGCTGAATATGAATTCACTCATTGTTAGGATAAAATTAAGAAACTGTCCCTAAAGGTGAGCTTGTCTTTTGCCTTCATTTGGATACAACTGATTTTCACATTAAGTACATTAATGCAACACTTTAGCATTAAGATTATAAAATGTTTGACTATGTCTCATTCTTAGTTATACTATTACTAGGGAAGGCTTATTTAACCAGAAATTATCAGAGAAATGTTTTGAACTGTTAACTGAGTGTTTATCAAGGTCTATGTCATTAAAAAGTTTTTGCTTTGAGAATCTCCACTTTAGTGGTTCTTTAAATGTATACTCTTAATATTATATTATAGGTTTGTATGATTTATCATGCTGCATGTTTATAAAATCTTCCTTTTAATTGTGGCCAGCCTTCCCAGCATGCTGAAATGCTTCTGCACATCTTGGCATTGCAAAAGTCATTACCATTGCATAAACATCTTGGCTGGAGGGTGTGTCATTTCCTGGATGCTTGGTCTTGGCTCTTCTGTCCTGACTGTCATTTTACCCTCTCCCCTGGAGATGTCAGACATCTGTTAAGAATTGGTGTATCCCTCTCTAAATCCACAGTGTAAAGTCTGTTCTCGTTGTTAGAAAGCAAGAGTGAATAAAGGTCAGCCTTTTTGATGGCTGGCTGCTTCTTCTATGAGCATCACATGTTGGGAGAAGCGAGTTCATCTGTCTGTGGGTTTACGGGAATCAATGGCATAAGCTGTCAGACTACCACTGATTGAAGGTGGACTGGGAGGGGACACACATCTGCCCAGTGGCTCACCATTGGCTTCCTATGACAGCATGCTCCCCTGGGATCCACTCTGCATGCTCATTCACTTGCCTCCTGCCTCCCCCCCACCTTCATTACTGATGCACAGCGAGAGGCGGCAGCCGCAGCCACAGCGCTAGCTACTCGTCACGAACCGGGATTGCAATGAGCTCATCCTTTTCTCCTGCAGTCGCAAAACTGCCCGGCTTCCTGGCTGCTGCTGCTGCCTGCACTCACACAGGCACACACGCTCTTTCCCCCACACACGCATACGCACACGCACACTGTCACAGGCAGACCCTTCTGCGCGCCTGTCGCCTTCACACATGTGTCTGAACTCTCCTGCCTTCCTCCTGGCCATTTTCTCGCATTCAATCGCTGTTGCCATTTTTTATTCAGACCCACATTTGATTTCATTTTCGTCTTCCAGTCTGCTTCGGGGCCCGTGCACAGTGGATCATTTAGCCAAAATGTTTTTCTGGTGGCGACGCTAGCGGACAATTCCCACCACAGACCTGCTTGTGCACCCTCCTCGGGAGACCCGAGCCGAGCCCCCTCCCACCGCAGTCCTTAACGTTGTGACTGAGAGATCCAGCGTCTCACTCTGGATTCCTACCTACTGCTCATGGAAGAAGGGGGGCCGTGCCCAGCCCCGGCTGCTAAGCTCGCCCCTCCTGTCAGAAAGTCCCAGGACATGCACGACGAGAGGAGCAAGCTGGTGAATGAGTATGCCTGTCGCGTGCTGGAACTTCTGGGTATGGGGCATCGCCTGTTTGTGCCTCGGCTTCTGGCGGTGAGACTGTTTTTCATTGAGCTTCATTTGTGGGGCATCTGCTACCCTCAGTAGCAGTTCCTTGTGTCCCTGGAAGAGGCTGGAGGTCTCTGGTTCTCTGCTCCTTCTCCCTGTTTTTCCTGAGAAGGCAGTGCTGAGTGGCCACTGCTGTGCAGCGCATTTGGAGCCTGGTCCACGCCACTCCTTAATTGGCTGGAGGAGATCATGGTTCTTTGCTCGGATCCCAGGGTCACATTAGTGGCATTATCTCTGTGGCAGCAAAAAATGGTCTTCTGGCTGGCCAGGCTTAGCAATTATCAGAATACCCAAGCCCTTGATGTTGGCGTTCTGTGATTTATGTCTCCAAAGGGTTAAATTCTACCAGAGACATAGCCACTTGTCTAGACTACTGTGGCTTGCTTTCTAGCCTCCCCATTTGATTGCCAATTTTGTTGTTGTTTTGAGGTTGTTTTGTTTCTGGTAGGAAATTTTATCACCTAAAAATCCTTGGGCAAGAAATTGTAGGTTTCTTTCCTGGAATGATTGAACTATGTATCTGTGAAACAGCTTAAAGCTGCTGGGTCTGCGCTGTGAATCTGCGAAGTCTGACTTGCTTGTTATTTGATTTCCTAAATAAGAGAAAAACCATCCTTCCTCATTTCCTACCAAGGGTTAAAATTAAATACCCACAATCACTGTTGCAGGGTTTCTCTTTAGTGGTTTGAGAACTATACCTACCAACTATTCTATAATGTAATTGGTCTATAGCAGTCCTATATCATTATGTGGTAGTTGAACAAGAATAATTTAGCTTTGTCTGTTGTATAGAATCAGTTTCCTTGTATGGGTCTCTCATATTTGAGTCCTTTCAGTGCAGTATTTACTTGGCGGAATTTAACTCTTTTCTCTCCCACATCTTCTCCCAGTATAGTTTATCCCTCTGTATACTTATCATTGCAATGACTAATTCAGTCCTCATGCAGGTATTTGCATACAGTTATCATCTCTACTGTGTAGTCATAACAGGCATGTTAGGTAGCCATGTACATAAGAAATTTCCCATCCTGAAGAAAGTCTGTTTATCATTGTAAAGCAAAGTTAGATGCAGTGACTAGCATGCAATTATAGAGAGGTTATTTTTGAGAAATGTAGTTCTGTTATCATTTAAGGAAGAAATAAAAAGAGCTTAATATTATATGTTTTAACGCCCAGATGCAGTAATTGTTTCCCTGAGTCACATTTTTCTCTTAAGAAGGTAGAAAACTGAAGACTGATGCTTCTATTATTTCAGCAGTTTTTATACTACAAAGTGCTAAAATACAATTTCAGCAAATTATCCACACCTCTGAGGAATCAGGCAAGGTCTAATATATTTCTTTATCTGAAAAACCACTCAACATCATGACTCAAGGGCTTCCACTGGTGACTTGCCACTAATTTGGTGCTCTCTTTGGCATTCACATTTTAGCAAACAAAAACATAAATCGATAATGAGAATATCTCTCATACTCAACTTTTTATTAGGAATAAATTTAAACTGCCTCTATTTTTAAAAAATTAATTAGCAATAAAATCCACAGGGAATGGGTTCACATGCGTGAGATCTTTGGGAGGTCATATGTGTCTATGTGTTGGATTTGGACAGTTTGGTTGCCAAATTCCGTATCTGAGGTCGTGTATCTCTCAGATGGTTTGGGGCTCTGACACTCGGAGCCCAGGAGTGTGGAAACCATATGCTGAGTTGTCTGTGGGGCCATTTGGAAACCTCTGGCTTTGTAATACACAGTTACACTTGAAAGGTTATTGGTACAACCAGTGCACTCTGCTTTAATTAGCAATATGACTGTGAATTGGGGTCTGCTGTCCAGTGAGTCCCAGCTCAGAGTTTAGTGTTCATACTGAGAGAAGTTGTTCAGCCTTGTGTTATTGGACTGACTGAAGATGGGAGATCAGTGACTAATCTGCACAGGGCAGTCCTAAAGGAATCCTACCTCATACAGTTTGCAGTCTTTTCACGTCTAGTCAAGAGGACATGTACTAAAGTTTAAAATGTATCTCTGTACCTTTCTAGTCATGTTTTAAACATGAATGCTTGTGGGTTAAACAAATACCTTATTTTACTTTAAAGATACCAGTAATTTTTTTCAAAATAAGATAAAGTTAATTTTTTAAAAAATCAAATAAATAGCCGGGCTCGGTGGCTCAGCCTGTAATCCCGCGCCTTTGGGAGGCTGAGGTGAGTGGATTGCCTGAGCCCGCAGGTTCGAGACCCGCCTGGACAACTTAGCGATACCTCATCTCTACAATAAATCAAAAAAATCAGCCGGGCGTGGTAGCGCACGCCTTTAATTCCGGCTACTTGGAAGGCTGAGGCGGAAGGATCTCTGGAGCCCAACAAGTCGAGGCTGCGGTGGCCGGGAGCAGCCACTGCACTCCAGTCTGGGCAACAGAGTGAGACTCCAACTCAAAATAAAATAAAATAAATAAATATTTACCAAGACAGTGTTGTAGAGTTGGGCTCTGAGCCTTATTTGTTGCTCCCTGATTCACAGAGGGACCATCAAACTACTAGAACACTGGGCTTCTATAACTTTCCATTGGAAAGAGGCTACTGGTTGAATGGAGGATGCACATTTACATTTTTGCTTATTCCCCTTCAAACAGACACCCCGGAAAAAACAATTCCCCTTAGTAAATCAACTCTGGTTACTTCATTTTAGATATTACCACATGGCAGAAATTCTGTGTGCAGACTCGCCAAAAATGTATTTCTTTAGTGAAATTAAAATACTAAAGCAGGAAGTTTGAATATCCTAGTCACCAGCTAAGTAGTGTTTCCCTTTTCTGTCACCTGTGTTTCCAAATGATTGTTAGACCTCCAAAAATATTTTTTGGCTAAATAGAAAACCTGTTAGACACCATAGCAAAAGAAGAACAAGCCATTTAGGGCATAAATAATGAAGGTAAGCAAGAGAACTACACTAGATTTTTTGTTTTCAAATAATCCCCTAAAAGAATCAAACCTAGGATTTACTACTTATTAGAGCCCCTAAAGCATCCATTGAGTAGAGAGAAGTTTGGAATAGAAGCATCTGGAGCTAACACTCAGACACTGAAACTATTTCCACCTATTCTGCCTCTTTAAAAAAAAAAGGAAGAAGAAGAAGAGATATTTTAAGTGTGATACTCTTAATTTCTCTGCCCGCCCGGAGGCTCGGATCCCCGGGCCTGCTGCGGTTGCGAGGGATGGGCAGCAGCACTGTCGGGACGAGCGGGCTGCGGCGTGCCCCATGGCAACAATGAGTTTACCCCTCAACCCGAAACCTTTCCTCAGTGGCCTCACGGGAAAGCCAGTGATGGTGAAGCTCAAGTGGGGGATGAAGTACAAGGGCTACCTGGTGTCTGTGGATGGCTACATGAACATGCAGCTTGCAAACACAGAAGAATACATAGACGGGGCGCTGTCTGGACACCTGGGTGAAGTTTTAATAAGATGTAACAGCGTTCTTTATATCAGAGGTGTGAAAGAAGAGGAAGAAGATGGGAGAAATGAGGGAATAGTAGCTTTTGTGTGGTTTTTTATATATATTTCTAGACAATAAAGATCTGTTTGTTTTTAAAAAACAAAAAAGTGTGATACTCTTATATTGAATTTTTCAGTGGGGAAAAACACATTCAAATTGGTATGAGCCATGGCATGTGGCCAGAGTCCATTCTCTGGATGTGAAATTTAGAGAAAAAGGAAAATTTTTGACTCTACTCATCTCTCCCTTCCCCTCTGGATTTTTTCTTTTTGCTGCTGTATTACATGGGACATTATCATCAGATCATTGCATATTAAAATCAGTGTTGCGGGGCTCAGTGGCTCAGCCTGTAATCCTGTGCCTTGGGAGGGTGAGGTGAGTGAATTGCCTAAGCCCGCAGGTTCGAGACCCGCTGGGGCAACTTGGTGAGACCTCATCTCTACAATAAATCAAAAATTAGCCGGGCGTGGTAGCGCACACCTGTAGTTCCAGCTACTTGGAAGGCTGAGGCGGAAGGATCGCCAGAGCCCAGCAGGTCGAGGCTACAGTGGCCGGGAGTGGCTACTTCACTCCAGTCTGGGCTACAGAGTGAGACTCAAACTCAAAAAAAATAAAATAAAATAAAATCAGTGTTAGCTGTAGCTAACTGGTACTGGTACACTGGGCACTTTCCATGTGAATACAAAGGACTCCTGGCCAACGAGGTTTGAGAGGCATAGGTGATCTGGTCGTCCCTTTTAGTAGTAGTCTAAGGTTTCATTTTGATCGCATTTCTTATGCTGTCAAAATGCATCTGAATTTAGTTTGTTTTTAAATTTGTGGACTTTCTTAAAACATTAATTTTAAGCAGGGGTGAAAGAGCAGAGGAGAGAGAAGGTCTTGCATCTTTCCCTCTGTTACTAACAGCCACAAGGATTGCATATTCAAGAGAGATGACACCTTTTAAAAGAAGTTAAGCATGGTGTAGTGGCTCACACCTGTAATCCCAGCACTTTGGGAGGCTGAGGCGAGTGGATCGCTTAAGCCCAGAAATTTGAGACCAGCTTGGACAACATAGAGAATCCTCATCTCTACAAAAAAAAAATTTAAAAATTAGTCAGTGGTGGTGGTGTGCACCTGTAGTTCCAGCTACTCCAGAGGCTTAGATGAGAGGATTGCTTGAGCCCAGAAGGTTGAGGCTGCATTGAGTTGTGATCATGCCGCCACACCCTAGCCAAGGCAACAGAGTGAGACTTTGACTCAAAAAAAAATAATTAAAAACCCAAATGCAGAAGTTGCCATGTATAGTTCTGATGCTTGGCAAAATCTAAAAATCAAATTTATATCAAAATAAATCCTGGCAGGACACGGTGACTCAAGCCTGTAATCCCAGCACTTTGGGAGGCCGAGACGAGAGGATTGCCTGAGCCCATGGGTTTGAGACCAGCCTGGACAACATTGTGAGACTTCCTCTCTACAATAAATAAATAAATAATTAGCCAAGTGTGGTAGTGTGCGCCTGTGGTTCCAGCTATTTGGAAGGCTGAGGCAGAAGGATTGCTGGAGCCTAGCAGGTTGACTCTGGGGTGGCCATGAGTGTGCTACTGCACTCCAGCCTGGGTGAAGGAGTAAGACTCCAACTCAAAAAAAAAAAAAAAAAATCCTGAATCTACTCCCTACTTTGCTCTGTTTACATTTTGACTTTTTAATACTAGATATGCTTGAAATGGAGCTTTTATAAATTCATGGAGTAAATTTATGTTAATATATGTTGTATGCCAGACAATTTGTTCAATTCATTTTCCAGGGGTAAGTGCAAAGGATACTTATATTAACATCCTACTTTCCCTCTGGGTATTTCTTCTGTCTGCTTGAAAGGAAAAAGAAGTAGGACTTTTTAAACTGTCTTTAATTTAATCTTTTCATATAGTTCAATTCAAATAAAGAAATAAGTAATGTCACCTTTGAAGATATAATTGGTAAACATGTAAATATTATCATTTAAAAGGATTTGTGAGGAAGTTTAGGGAGCAAAGTTTAGGGGAACCACTAATCAGAGCCACAAATTGTAGCCACTAATTTCTAAAACTTATCCTTTATTAGTTCTTGTTTAAAAACTTTAAAATAAAAAATAATAATGATAAAAGCTGATAGAGTTCTTTCCTGTATTTTACAAGGGAAAAATGTTGCATTTTTATTATTTTATTCTTTCCTTGCTCATGCTCTGAAGGCAATATAGAAAAACTCTAAGAATTTCCTCATTGAAGACCAGTCTTCCAGTTTAAATTGGTTTTGTTAGCATAATGGGATTCTGTGTAGTGAGCACATATGTATAATGATAAGCCAGAAGCCAACACAACCTCTTTTGGGTACTTGGTTTGGTTCTTGAAGTGTTGTCTACCTTTTAGGGTACTTTTTTGTTTTTGAGTTGGAGTCTCACTCCGTTGCCCAGGCTGGAGTGCAGTATTTATACAATTATACATTTAATTATAAGCATTAATTATCTCTACAACTAACTCATTAATAATGAGTATGTATGCTGGATGCAGTGACTCATGCCTCTATAATTTCAGCAACTCAGGAGACTGAGGTGGGAAAATTGCTTGAGGCCAGGAGTTTGAGACCAGCCTGGGCAACATAGGAAGATCCAATCTTTAAAGAGAAAAAAAATTTGATAGCAAGGAAGGGTGATTTGTACCTGTAGTCCCAGCTACTTGGGAGGCTAAAATGGGATAATCACTTGAACCCAGGAGTTCAAGGCTGCAGTGAGCTATGATCATGCCACTTCATTCCAGCCTAGGTGACAGAACAAGATCCATCTGTTTAAATAATAATAATAATAATTAATATGTGTGAGAGCTGGTCCTGGAGCTCTGGTTGAAGTCATATTTTATTATCATAGAAAGCACTGCTACTTATATTTTTGACTAATAATGGTACATGGATGCTTGACATTTGTAAAGCATATATATTTAACAAAATATTATATATACTATTATTCAAATTTTGTTAAATATATATAAGATGTGAGTGTAAGAATGGGGGAAAAGGACTATAAGTAATTAAATAAAATGTTAATTATGTTTTTCTCTGTAGAGTGAGACTTTATGTTAGACTTTTAAAATAATTTTTTTCTTTTGAGTCGTGACTATGTAATTAGGAAAAAATGTATGGCCCTAACATGTGTACTTACACACACACACACACACACACACACACAAATTATGATCCAAAAATAAAGTATTTTTTTAAAAAAACAAACAACTTTCTTATAATTTCTTAGCGAGACACACAAATGTTTGCAGAACAAGTAGTGTCTATCCTTCGATTGTGGAAGAAAACCTTCTTAGATACATTTTTTGTGAAATGGAGAGTTATCCCTATAAGCTTAGAATCTGCTTATGGCATTACAAAGGCGTTGGAGGAGATATTGAAGATTATGGAATCTATTAAAAATAGAAAATTGGAGGGAGAAGCCCATCAGAATCAAAGCAGGACTGCCTGCAGGTTGTCCTGTGGATTAAAACACTGGCAAGCAAGGTTTTTGTATGTGTGTTTTGCTTACTGGCATTTTTGTTTTCATTCACGATGAAATTAGCTGTGTTGCAGTCCATAAGAAGAATATAAATTCTTTGCATTTTGACTGCCTGCTTTATGGAATTAAAAATGTCAATGAGAACGGGATACCTCTTTTAGCCTCTACAATATCAGTATCTGAGTATATTTGAGCATTATGGGGAGGCACCAAACTGTCATCCTTATATTTCTTTTGTAGTTTGAAGAAGTGTGCTCATATGCCTTAACTTATTTCGTTCTCAAGTAACTTACTTGTGAGAGAAGATTTTTCCATTTTAAGAATGGGAAAACTTAGACAACACCATGAATTAGCCAGGATTACAGTAAAATGAATTTATTCCATCCTTTGCAGTCTTGTTTGAGTACCTTTAATGTGCCAAGTACTTTCCAGAGGCTGAGATTAGAGAAGTGAGTAAGATGCAGTTTGCATGTCTACACTTGGGCCTTCCTGGTCTGGCTGTCAGAGATCCTTTCTTCCTGGGCTTAACTGAGTAGAAGAAGCCATGAGATCTGAGCACTGTCACCAGTGTCTCAGAAAGGACAGCCACAAGTGCTCTGGCTTCTGGCGTCCAGAGACTCAGCCTCAGTTGGACTTCAGCCCTGCCCTGGCAGGGAGCCCTTACTGTACCTCCTCTGAGAATGTACCTCCTCTGCACAGCATCTCTGCCCATGTTACCATCCCTGCCCAATCAGAGGTCCATTGTATGAGAGTAGGATTTCTCATTCTTCATCCCATCCTTTGTTTTTGTGTGAGCTAAGGGCTGGCCTTTATTAACCCTTGGGCAGTGTTGGAAAATTAAGTGGTTATGCTACTGCCAGCAGGCAAGAGATGGCCCTCGCCATTTTGGGGCATCTGTTTCCAAGTAACTAGAGGTTAGTTGCACTGAAAATAGAATAGGTACTCTCAGAGGTCTTCAAGTAGTGAAGAAGGGGCTAAACCTGTTTCTCTACAAGCCCTGTCAACAGCCTCTCTTGAATTGTCCAAGTCATTACCAGAGAGCTAGTCATCAGAACCAGTATTACGTGAGAAAGGAAGGCCAGGGGTGTGGCATGTCTGATGTAACTGCTGGCTGGGTGCTTCCCTGTCACTCAGCAGTTGACATTTGAGTTAGGTGCTCTTTCTGACTGAGGCTGTCTCCAGTACTGTCTCTTCCAGCTGAGTTCCGGTGAGTTGATAACGTGCTACACATTCTTTCCACCACTTTTTGCCATCACATGAGTATTTATGAGGGAGGAAGTCAATCTGAGATGTGCTGGAGTTTGTTGTTTTCTCACTGCCACTGCTAACCTCCCTCTGTTTCCTGATTACTGGTTTGCAGAACTAAAGCGGGCCAACCTAGGCCCTGGTGAAACTGCCTGGAATGTTAATTAATATATTCTTTTCTTTTACATGTTTAAAGGGCAGAGGAGAAGGGAAGCAAAATGCAGCCAAAGAAAAATGAAAGTAGTTTTTAAAGTTTATTTATTCCGCAATGAATTCTAATTGTCTCCTAGATTCTGGGCATTATTCTCATTACTGGGGGTAAGCAAAGAACAAGA